CTGTATAGTATTTTCCAGGAGCAACTGGTGAACTTGAACCACCAACCTTGAGGTTCAAACTGACTTTGGAGTCCAATGCATTAACTCACAGCACCACACCAGGACTCCATTAACTTGATAAAATTTATTCCATCTTTAGATTCTTTTTTATTTTTATTTTTTTTTAATCTTTAGATTCTTAATGTATGTTTGTATTTGGGTGTAAGGTGTGTGTCTTGTAAACACGTATTGAAGGATCCTATTTTGTTTATATATTCTGCTTCACATTGTCTTCTGACTATTGTATTTAATCCATTAATGTTCTGCATAATTGTCAATATGTATGAATTTATTACAGTCATTTTGATGTGTGTGTGTAGTTTTTTTGTGGTGCTGCTGGTTTCTTTGTTCCATAGTTTTTTCTGTGCTGATTTTATTTTTGTTGTTCTTTTTCTTTTCACTTTCTTCTGAGTTTTAATATTAACAAAATATTTATAAAGCTTTCTTTTATTGATTTGATATGAACATGTATTACATTTCTTTGAGGTTATCCTATAATTATTAATTTCTTCATCAATTTTAAACTACTTGACTTCCTTGCCATTTGGTATTCTGTAAGTATACCTTTCCCTCTCTTTGCTCTGTTGTTGTCTTCATATTAGATTGATAGCTCTGATTTCATGTCTTCAGTTTTGTAGTTTTGTTTTACTCTGGATACTTCTGAATTGAATTTGTAAAGTTGGCTTGGTTTTTTTTTAAGTGTTTATTGTGAATTGAGTGATAGTTTACATGGAGGAACATCAGTTTTACACTCATCCTATCATATTCATTTCATTACAGTGATTACAATCCCCTGCATGCTTCATCATTCAACAGTATTTGCTTCGGTTCCCTCTGTTTTTTGGGTTTTTTTTGGATATGAACCAAAATACTCAGGAATATACAGTCATTCAAACAGTCAATGGGTATACCCTATAAGCTTGCCCCCCAGCCGCCAGCACATATCGTCTCTCCCTCCTCGAATCTAGAGTCTTTAGCTACTTTATTTCTCCATGTCATCTTCACTGCCTCCATCTCTGATGTCACCGCTTCTCTGGGTAGGGTCCATACTCTTGCCCTTGATGGTCTCAGGGTCCTCTGCTCCTGGACTGTAAGATTGACTATTCACCCCTTTTTGCTACAAAACTTCTACCTTTACCGTTGCGACAATTGCAATTAGTCATGGTAACAATTAGTCACTATTGAATCATGAGAGTCTTGTCCCCATCTCCTTTCACTAGACCTGTCTAGACAGGATGTAAACCACTCAGTGAGGATTCTACCTTCCCCTGCACACTCTGAACCTAAACTCCCTCTTGAAAACCTGTAAGCTAGTTACTTTGTGCCCTTACAGCTCCCCCATTTTACGTAGTCAATGTCCAGGCTGTGAACCCTGTGTACAGAGGGGATGAGAATGATCCTTACTATAAAGATTCTTTCCCTCTTGGTTGCTAATTTAAGCTACTACATCCATAACTATATGTCAAGCTCATCAGATTATAGTGATTTACACTTGCTTTCTTTAAAAACAAAACAAAAAACCCTCCCCCTTTTCCTTCCTCTAGTTGGCTTCTGAACTAGGTCCAATGGGCACTCTCTGCAAATTTGTGCACCCTTGTACATATCCCCTCACTTCATACCAACTGAATGCACTAGCCTTCCATGACCATGTCCTTGTCCATGTGTTGAGGAGTCACCAAGTCTCACCGTACTTCGGGCCAACCATATTCCAGGTCAGTGGGGGTCAATGTAACTTGGTTGGACTTAGCCCACCTTTTCATTGCTGCTTTTCACCACTTCTTCTCACCAGTAGACTAATGTGGTCACCAGCAAGCTTACATGCCTGCTCATGTATTCCCTTTGAGTTTCAATCTTGGGAGGGGGTTTGTCCTGAAGGGACTTAATTGCCTACCTTGATGGCTCCCTTGCGAACAACTTGCTTATTCTTGTAGTAGCCAATCAGACTGCCATTTTTGTTTTTTGTTTTCCCTGCTGGTCTTTTCTTTCAAGAAGTATCTTCTATTCCTCCAGCTGCTCCAGGATGGTCTGCTTGTGTCTTCAAGAGGGAATTTCCCATCTCAGAAGGTTCTGGATGGGGATCAGGATTTCACCTAAGGTCTCTTACCCTACAAAGGCTCTGCAAAAGGCCTCTTTCACTGGCAAGTTCTAAATTGGCTTGGTTTTTACAAATTCTTTTAATTTCTGTTTCTCTGGACATGTTCTAATCTCACAGTCATATTTGAGGGACAGTTTTGCTGGGTATATGATTCTTGGTTGGCAGTAATTTTTTCTTTCAGAGTTTTGCATATGCCTTCACATTGCCTTCTTGCCTGCATGGTTTTTGCTGAGAAATCAGAAGTGAATCTTACTGGTTTTCCTTTATAGGTAACATTTTGTTTTCTCTTAGCTGCTTTCAGGATTCTTCCCTTGTCTTTGATTTTGGAATTTGATTATGTTATTCCTTGGTGATCTTCTTTTGGGGTGTATCCTGTTTGGAATTCATTTAACTTCTTGAATGCTTATCATCTCATCTTTCATGATGTTTAGAAATTTTTCTTCCAGCAACTCTTCAACTATCTTTACTATAGTTTTCTTTGTCTCTTCCTGTTCTGGAATTCTGATCAACCATAGGTTATTCCTTTTCATGTTTTTCCATGTAAATTTTAGGATTTCTTCAGATATTTTCTGATTGTTCGTCTATCTTGCTAGTATTGAGAGATTTATCTTCAATCTCACTAGTTCTTGTAACCATTGATTCAAATCTACTCCTTTACCCTTTCAGTGTATTGTGTGTTTCTTACATCTTAGTATTGATCTTCTGGATTTCTGTTTTCAAGTTTTGTATTGTCCCCAATCCTTCATCTATTTTTCTTTGATTGTTCCTGTAGCGCTGTTCTGAATTCTTCCTTGTTTTCCTCAACCCTTCTTTCAATCATTTGGATGCACCTAAATAACCTTGGAAACCCTGTACAGGGTTGCAATGAGTCGGGATCAACTCCATGGCACACCGCCATGCCATGCCATATTCTTTTATGGAGTCCTGGCTTGGTGCTGTAGGATAAGCACAGGATTCCAAGGTTGGTTTGAGCAACAAAGTAAGTGGTTCAAACTCACCAGTTGCTTCTTGGAAACATTAAACTGAGTCTCTATGAGTTGGAACTAATGTGATGGCGTTTAACAACAACAGCAACATACTATTTTTAAGGTAGTTTCAGTGCTTCTTCTTCCTCAAAAACTTTTTGTAGCTTTCCTTCTTGGTCAGTTGTTTGAGCTACTCTGTCTTGTTTCTTCAAGTGAATAGAAATTTCCTGCTGCTTTCTAGGCATTGTGGTGTTGTTATATTTGTATTAAGTTGATTAAATATTCTTAGGAACTCACCAACTGCCTCCTGGTGGATGTGATCAGAAGAGGAGCTTCTCTATTCACTGTTTGTACAGTTAATTCAGAGTGGATTTAACTGATGTTGATTGTACAGCAGCTGGGATTGACTGTTGCCCAAATATTGGGGTTGTAGAGGGTATGGTGTGACTTGGCTTTATGGCTGCAGTTGTTGTCTAATGATGGGTCTTGCAAGGAGAGGTAAGAAACAAACAAAACCCACCCACAAAAAAATAAAGGTCAGTGGCTCTCTGTCTCCACCAGTATGTGGTGTGCTGTGCTACCTACTGACCGCTTGCCTTCACAGACACCTGAGAAAGTTCAAAATGGCCACACTGAATCCAGCGGGTTCACATGGATCACACACCTCCCCCTTTTTTTTTCTCCTCTACCCCACATGTCAGTTTAATCCCTTTTCTAGTGAGACCCAGTCCAAGAAAGGCCAGGGTCGACTTTGCAGATTTCGAGCAGAGCTTGCTCTAGTGAAGTTATTGTAGATAGCTCTTCCCTGGGACTCACTACCTCTGAGTGTCTCTGATCCCCTGATTTTTAGCAAATTCTTATATAAATTAACCCAAGAAGCTTTTCTGTAGTTGAATTTACTATAAAACATACTTGTTCAAGTGGAGCACAGTAAAAATTGTTTTTATTAACAATTAAAATTTGCTAAAATAATGATTGAAGGATGATAATTTGGTCATGTTTTAGCTATCTGTATACAGGATTGTTGTTCTGTTGCTTTGGTTCTCTGAGAGAAAAACAAAACTATGTGATGTTTTGTATCTGTATCCCATAGATCATTAGTAAGGTGTTGTTGTTATTGTTATAGTGGTCGAGTCATTTCTGACCCATAGCAACCCTGTATAGGGTTTCCGAGGAGCAGCTGGTGAGATTGAACTGCCAACCTTACAGTTCAAATGGCTTTGCAGTCTGGTGCATTAACCCACAGCGCCACACCAGGACTCTTTAGTAAGATAACTACTTGAAAATCAATACTATTGTTCTCTTCTTTCAATGGTGGGATCTGAGGAGTGAATATCATCTTAATGGGATTATAGATAGAACTGTGAAAGGCTTTCTGGAGATCAGGACAAAGAAAATAATCTACTCCTTATAATGAATGTTGTTGTTGTTATGTGCTATGGAGTCAGTTCTGACTCATAGCGACCTTGTACAGGGTTTCCGAGGTCTTTACTGGAGCGGAAAGCCTCATCTTTTTCCCACAGAACAGCTGGTAGTTTCGAACTGCTGACCTTAAGGTTCGTAGCCCAATTTGTAACCACTATGCTACCAGAGCTCCTTTATAATGAATGGCTGCCTGTAATTTGAACATGATTACATAATGACTCAAAGTTTATGATTTCTAGCTTTTAGCTTCTAAAACTACTCCTACAATCATTCTTTGAAAAATTACTATTAATAGAAATGGCACATTCTCTTTTTCCCCCAACATGATATTTTTCATTTAAAAAGTGTAAGAAAGCATTAAAGTTTAGTTTTTGATTTCTACTTTTCACTCTAATATATTTCATATTTCTATCATTTATTATAAAGTCTAATCCTAATGAAGCAAATTTTATCAGCAACTTGAATTCATTATTTTGTAACATTTACATTAAGTAATGCTTTGTAAAGACATCAATATATACCTATATAATTTCCTGCCATTCTTGAATTTCATAGTAATGAGGGTCAAAATTTTCTTCTGTTCCTTCTTGTTCTCCATCTTCATAAGCATTATGGTGATCATCGTGATCATCATTGTCGTCATCTTGATGTCTTTGGAAAACTTGGGTCTTCAGTTGTATTGTTTGGCCATTAGTACTTCTTTGTTCACCATAGTAAATACTATGGATATGAGGGAAACAAAAGAAAATGTATGAGCTTATTGGTTCCTTTAGCTTATTTTGGTCCAAACGAATGTATGTTAAATGGTGGTAATGTAGTGGTTCAATAGATGGACATATCATGGTAGCATTAATACCTGAAAAAAACAAATTAGAAATTAATCCTACTACATTCCATCCAATATCCTTTATGTATTTTATTAAAATTTTATAGATTTGATATCCTTTTATCTATTAAAATATTTATAAGTAGAATTAGGTTTAATATTTTTGTTAATCAATGAAATTACAAATGAGTTGTACATTACCAAAATAAATATGATATTTATTTCTTCTTAATATTTAAATAATAAATTCTTACTAAAAGTATCTTTTCAAAAAACAAAAAGAGAAAGGAAAAATCACCTATAAACTACTATTCAAGATATTCATATTTCTTCATATACCCTCTAGTAGTAGTTCTCAGTACTGAAGGTGGTGAAGTTTAATAGAAAAGACTTAAACTTTATGGTACATCTTTCTCTAGGCAGTTTCTGTCAGTTCCAGAGCCACTTTCCAAAGCGAAACCAAATCCACTTCTCTCAAGTTGATTCCTATTTAGAGTAACCTTATAGGACAGAGTAAACTGCTCCTTTGTGTTTCTGCAACTATAAACCTTTACGGGAGCAGACAATGGTAAGTTTGAACCACTGACTTCTTGGTTGGCAGTCCAACACTTAACCCACTCTGCCACCACCCAACTTCAAAGCAACCATATATAAAACATAGAATATTAAAGATCGTTCTGTAAAAGGTAACAATATAATTCCTTTCTCTCTTTAGGAAATAATAACAATTTTACATACTTTCAATTTCATTATTTTCTATATATAAGTGTTCCAGATTTCTTGGAATATAGAATGCTTGCTTCAATTTGTTATGTCCAACATTGAGCTCTCTAAGGTTGGAAAGATTAAATATATTATATGGAATGTCCTGTAGTTCATTATGTGACATTCGTAGAGCATGAAGTTCTGGAAGTTTCTTGAAGTAATTTTCTGGTATAGAAGAAATGGAGTTATTTTCTAAAGACAGATACATAAGTGAAGAAGGTAGATCAGGAGGCATTGAATGTAATCTGTTACTACATAGGTTTAGTTGCATTAGTTTTTCTATTTTGGAAAGGATTTTTTCTTTGAACATAGAGTCATGAAGATGATTATAACAAAGATCAAGCATGGTCAAGTTTACTAATCCATCCATGGCATTTTTCTGTACTCTAGAGATCTCATTATAGCCAAGAAGTAGTCTTTCTAAAGATTTAGGAAGAGGAAATGGAAATTCTTCTAAATTGTTATGATCTAGGTGAAGTTGTAGTAGACTTGAAAACTTGGCAAGTACACCATAATCAATCTTCTGAGATTTAAGTTTGTTGTGGCTGAGATTAATTTCTTTAAGATGAGTTGCATTAATGAATGAATTTTCAGTCACAGCTTCTATTTCATTGAACTGAAGATAGAGTTGCTGAATGTGCATTGGAATATTTGGGATAGTCTTGAGTTTGCGGTTATCACAGTACATTGATGATGGAAAATTAGGTGGACAAAAACATTCTCTAGCACATCCTAAAGTATGCTGATGAAAAGGATTTCCATATTCTACATTTTGATGAAATTGGAATTCTGGTTGATAGGTATAATCTGACTCTTGATCATAGTCTTCTTCCCACTGATAGGTTTCATGTTGACAATATACTTTGACTCCAAAAAAGAAGAAGAAGACACATACTTGACTTAAAAATTCCATGGTTTTCTTTTGTCCTGTTACAAATAGAAAAGAAATATATTACGTAAAAAATGAACAAAACAGAATACTTCTTGTTTAAATTGATAGTTATGTAAAACAAATTGATGTCAGTGTTTAAAGGTATAAAGTAATGTTCATAAGGAAAGAACTGTGTTGAAGACAAAATTAGTATTTAGAAATTAATGAAGTCACATATTGCATTGAGCCAGAAACAAAAGTTTAAGTAACCTTGTTAGTTTTATCATGCTGTGTGGCACTGTGGGTTAATGCTATAGACCACAAGGTCAGTTTGAACTACAAGTTTGGTGGCTCAAGCTCACCAGCTGCTTCTCAGAAACCCTTGATTCCAACTCAGCAGTACTGAACAACAACAAATGCCTTTCAGTTAGCAGGGGGGGTGCTTGACTAGCACACCAGTGCTACTTTTCTGTTTGAACTACTGGTGTGGCGCTGTAGGATCAGTACTGGACTTTGAACCACATGGTCAGCAGTTCAAACCCACCAGATGTTTTTTGGAAACTCTGTACAGGATTGCTATGAGTTGGAATCGACTCCATCGCACATAACAACAACAATAGACTATAGATTTATTACTGTGGCATGGTATCTCTCAATTACAAAGCCAGTTGCTCTTTCCATTGTAAGTGCTGGATATTCTGATTATATGAGAAGAGAACCTTGCTGGTACAGTGATTAAATATTTGGCTACTAATCAAACCCACCAGCACTCCAAGGGAGAAAGCTGTGTAAGTGTACTTTTGTAAACATTACAACCTTGGAAACCCTGTGAGGCAATTCTACTCTGTAAATCTCCCTGATTCCACAGTCTCCTCTAGCTACCGACTATCTCTCTGCTTCTCTTTATGTCAAAACTCAAAATAGTTTTGTTTTAAATTTTTACTACTTGGAGCCACTTGACTCAGGCTTTTATCCCTACTACTTTGCCAGAATTATACTTGACAGGATCACCAATGACCTTCACAGTGCTGTTGGACAGTTCTTTGTCCTTGTTTTATTTGATTTATCTGCTGCGTTTGACACAGTTGATGATGCCTTCCTCTGAACACTTGCTTCATTTAACTCTGTTGTTGTTAAGTGCCATTGAGTTGGTTCTGACTCATAGAGACCCTGCGTAAGGTTTCCAAGTTTTTAGGTTTAAACCACCAGTCTTGTGGTTAGCAGTCCAGGGCTTATCTTACAGCACCACAGCAGGACTCCATTTATCCTCTAGAACACAGTATTTTACTCTTTCTTACTAGATTTCTGTACTGGCTCTTCTTCAACTCCCTGAATTCCTAATAATGGAGTATCCTTGAACCTTTTCTCTTCCATGCTCTCCCTTAGTGATCTCATCTGGTTTCATGGCATTAAGTGCCATCCCTGCAAATGCTGATGCTTCCCAAATCAGAATTTTTGAGCCAGTTCTCTCCATGAATACATAAACCCAAATGATATGTATTGCTGATCTCCACTAGAATGTCTAATTGTTATCCTTCCAATTTCTGTTCTCAGTCTCTCCCATCTCAGTAAGTGATGACCTCATCTTTCATTTTGTTCAGATCACAACTTTTAAGAGTCATCATTGATACATTTGTATATGTGTGTGATATTGCAAATTCAGTATATAAGCAATCTGATTCTATGTTCAGAATAGATCTACAATCAAGCTGATTCAAAGCTAACATCTTCACCTGCCTATATCATTACCTCTACCTTTGCCTACACAGATTAAAATATTTTCCAACTGTTAGAACCTGTTGATTGTCTGTTCAAAATTTTCAGGCAACTTCTGTTCTCTTTGAGAATGAAAACTTAACTCTTTACAGTAATCTACTGTAGCTCTCTGAACATTTCCTGGTCATCGTCTCCTTGTTGATTCTCTTCATGGCACATATCATGATGGATTTTTTTTCCCTCCCCGCCTTCACTTCCCACTATTTAAATATATATATATAGTCTTTTTGTTTTTTCAGATCTTTAACAGTTCTTGTCACAAAGCAGGAAATCAGAAAAAAAATTACTTTGTGAGATCCGCACTTAATCACATAAACTTGAGTTTGAATCATGACCTCTTGACTGTAGTCTCTCTGAAAAGAAAGGGATTCTTAATGTCTCCCTCCTTTTGGGCTTGTTGGGCAGAAAGACTTTCTCTGAATAACAATTTCTTTTCTAAATCTAAGCTCATCTTAGACATTATTCTCCTAATCATTTTAGATTCTTAACCTCAGTAGCGTAACCTTGTCGTGTTCCCTTTTCACTAAGTGTAGTTTTCTGATTTGAAATCCATTCATAACTGTCAATTATCTCATGCCTTCATCTCTATTTTCTTGACAGAATCCAGAAGAGTGCATGGTGTGTATATATATATTTTGTTATCATTGCTATTCTCTGCTAATGTTGATTATTTCTGGGCATTTATTTTGCCATAGAGAGCACAGGGGATACATATGATAAGCCCTGGATTAAGAGCCACAAGGTAGGCGGTTTGAGCCCACCAGCTGCTCCAAAGGAGAAAGATGAGACTTTCTGCTCTGGCAAAGATTTAAAGCCTCAGAATCCCTACTATTCAGGATTGCTATGAGTTGGAACTGACTCGATGGCACTTAATGATATCAATATTTGTCCTGGTGGTATCTTTGAGTAAATATAATCATAGAGCAGTTGTCTATATTCTCTTTTCTGTTTCCTATTTCTTTATCATAATATATTGCATTGTTTACTTTTCTATTACATGATCTAATAGAAAAAAAAAGAAAACAATTAAAATATGTTACCAGTTTTGTTAATTACCCATTAATGTGACTTTTTCATATTATAGTTATAAAAGCTTCTGTCACAACATTCTCTTACTTGGATGAAAGCACCCATTCATGCTTTTAACAAGAAAAGTTCTAACTGAAACTATTACTAAAACTGAGGTAGAATTTAAAGTTTGCTTTAGAAAGTCAGAAGTAATCAGAAAGCCTTCTAGCATTTCATTATTTAAAGACTTAGTTGTTTTATTGATAGATCATAGAAGCTAGTATATAAGAACCCAAGTATTAGTATAAATTCATATTTTCCCCAAAGCAATTTTAAATTTAAATCTGTAAAATCAGTGTGTATCACTATTATATGACCCAATGGAAGTATTCTTTTTGCTAATAAAAATATGAAAGTCTGGAAATTATTTTTAGCCATAGGGCAGTAAAACCTTAATTAAGGGAAACCCTAGACTAGCTTGTTCAGTAGAATGGATTGGGCACTATTGAGAAAGAGACAAATGAAAACAAAAGTGCTTATTTCAGGGGTCTGCTCAGTAGAGACCATTGGAGAACATTTTGAAAGAACATTATACAAATGCTTACCTGGTTGTACAGTTAGACTCACTAGTACTGGTCAGACATTTGCTATGTTTTGTCATTAAAAATGAGACAGTGAGGTACAGTCAGAGAGAGAGAGAGAGTGATTTAGGTTGAGATTGATTCCTGTAACGTAAGAATTTTTCTGTTCATTAAAAGTAAAGCATTGAAACAAAGGTTGTTTATTGGGTAAATATTAAGTAAATTAAAAAATTAAATCCATTTTCTAGCCTGAACATTTTAGCTTTTATGCTTCCATGTAGCTGAAATCTATTTTTAATATTAAACAAATATTAAACAAATCAAACATACTTTTTATTTTAGCAGGAATAATTGTTAAAATAAAAATCATTTTATTATCATACCTGTTGAATTTGCTTTCATTTTCAGGGTTTGATGAATCAGAAATCCTTTAAATGAATCAGAAATTCCTAAATTCTTAACTGGATCTCCAAAAAATCCACAGTAACTGTTTTTCCAGACAGTATTGTCCCTTGAATTACTCTAGAAATTTAAGCAAATACAGTCTGCTTGAAAACATGTGGGTTGACTTTAACTTATTCATTTCCTTTCATTACACAAAGATTTGTGGATCCAAATTAAAATGTTTATATTTTTTATCAGACTTATGAGGCTTACTTTCCCCCGTAATTTTGGTTTCAGTTGTGGCAAAAATTTCCTCTAATGTGAAAGTCAAACAGAACTAAATGAAACAGTATGTACTGATTACTGTTGCTATTTTTATTTTCAGGCCAAAGTACTTCTTCACATTAAGGTCCACTGCAACTTAGAACTCAGTGTCTTAGCAATTTAAGGTGGAACTGAAAGTTGTTTTGAGCCTCTTGGTTGTCAGACACCTTGTGTGTACACTGATGTTTTCATTTATTAAGACTAGGATTCACAATTAGAAATAGCATTACATATTTAATTTTTAAAACGAAATAGATTGTCATTGATTATTCAGTGGAATTTATATCTTTTACATATAAAGACTAATACCTTCTTTTCTGTTTACTATCCCCTTTCTTACTTTCCTCCCAATTATACCTACTAGAATAATTCTGAATAATCTTTCAACTAAAATGGAATCTCCTGGTTATTGAATTCATTGTCTTATACTAATAAGGTATCCCTTTGATTTGCCTGGGTGGTGCAAACAGTTGGCGATTGACTACTAACCTAAAGGTTGGCAGTTGCCTCATGGAAGAAAAGGTTGGAAATCTGCTTCCATTATAAAGATTACAACCAAGAAAATCCTATGGAGCAGTTCTTCCCTAACACATGAGATTGCTATGAGTCAGAATCAACTTTACAGCAAGAGGCTTTTTCTAAGTGGTGATGGTAGTGATTTGCTGTGGAGTAGGTTCCAACTCATAGTGACCCTGTACAGGGTTTCTGAGGCTATAAATCTTTACGGGAACAGAAAGCCTCATCTTTCTCCCGCGGAACAGCTGGTAGTTTCGAACTACTGACCTTGAGGTTTGAAGCCCAATTTGTAACCACTATGCTATCAGAGCTCCTTTTTTTCAAAGTAGTAGAATAAAAGAAAAATAATTAGAAACTTCTATTGTCCAATAATTATTGCTATTATGTTGTGGATGTAGAAAATGTCCTCATTTCCCTGAGCTGTCTTTTCTGAAGTGTAATGGTTAACTGCTTAAATGCTAAAATTTTATACTAGTGTTTTCATATTTTAAGCAGAAAGTTAATTTGTGTCTTTTGGCACAGACTGTTAGTTCATTCGGAAATTGTTTCAAGCCTTTGAATACCAATAAGGAAAATAAATTACGGAGTTCTTTTGTTTCCTCAAAATACTGTTTTACATTAAGTTTTTACAAAGAGCTCACAAGATTTACAATACTTTAGATTTTTTTAAAGTATGTATAGAAAGTCTAATTTGTTATTTAAAGCATTGGTATGTGAAATGTGTGGCAGAATACATTTGGGCCAGGATTTCATCTTGTTACTAATCTTTTCCATATGATTCTTATTTATTTCTTTGTTTTTAAACTTTAAGCTTCCACTCTCAGGAAAAGAAAACAAATCTGTTTACTTTTTCCAGAAAATATTTTACATTTTCTTACAGTTCTTTTGGAAGATTAATTTAAAATTAACAAATTAATTTTTATATAATTTCTAATCTAACTCTGATTAGAGTTTAAGATAGTGATTGTGTTGTTCATGTTTCCAAAAATTGCCACCACACCCCTGTTTTATCAATAGATTACTTGTTGTTGTTGTCAGGTGCCATCGAGTCGGAACCGACTCATAGCGACCCCATGCACAGCAGAACGAAACAATGTCCGATCCTGGGCCAACCTCACTACCGCTGCCACACTTGACGCCATCAATGATGCCACCTGGCTGATCCATCTCGTTGGGGGTCTTCCTCGTTTTCTCTGACCCTCCACCCTACCCAGCATGACATCCTTCTCCAACGATTGTTTCCTCCGGACAATATGTCCAAAGTAGGAGAGACGAAGCTTAGCCATCCTGGCCTCCAAGGAGCACTCTGGCTGCACTTCTTCCAAAACAGATCTATTGGTTCTTTTGGCAGTCCATGGCACTCTCAGTATTCTCCTCCAACACCACAACTCAAAGGCATCAATTCTTCTACGATCTTCCTTATTCACTGTCCGTCTCACACAGAATCAGAAATGTCTAGAAAGTTTATATAGGGCTGGGACTAGGTAGAGCTGATGGTTGTTGTTGTTGTTGTTAAGTGCCGTCGAGTCGGTTCCGACCCATAGCGACCCTGTACAGGGTTTCCGAGGGTGTAAATCCTTACGGGAGTAGAAAGCCTCATCTTTCTCCCGCGGAGCGGCTGGTAGTTTCGAACCGCTGACCTTTAGGTTCGCAGCCCGATTCGTAACCACTACGCTACCAGAGCTCCTTAGAGCTGATGGTTAGTCGGGCCTTAAAGGAAAAGTTGTTGTTGCTGTTGAGTGCTGTCAAGTCAGTTCTGAATCAGCTAACCTGTATATGGTTTCTGAGAAGCAGCTGAATTTCTGAGAACCACTGACCTTGCAGTTCAAACCCACCTTGCATCTAGTGCTTATCCTATAGTGCCACACAAAAGTTGTTATGTTCAGTGCCATAGAGTTGATACCGACTCACAGCGACCCTATGACCAACAGAACGAAATGCTTCTTCCAGCACAGATCAATTTATTTTTTGGCAGTCCGTGGTACTTTCAGTATTCTCGTCCAACACCATAACTCAAATGCATCAATTCTTCTATGGTCTTCCTTATTCACTATTCAGCTTTCACATGCATATGAGGTTATTGAATATTTGTTGTTGTTAGGTGCCATCGAGTCGGTACTGACTCATAGTTACCCTATGTACAACAGAACGAAACACTACCTGGTCCTAGGCTTACCTCACAATTGTTGCCACGCTTGAGCCCATTGATGCTGCCACTTTCCCAATCTAGCTCACGGGGAATCTTCCTCTTTTACTCTGACCCTCCACCTTACCAAACATGATATCCTTCTCCAGAGACTGGTCCCTCATGACAATATGTCCAAAGTATGAGTGATGAAGTTAGACCATCCTGGCCTCCAAGGAGCACTATGGCTGCACTTCTTCCAACACAGATTTGTTGGTTCTTCAGGCAGCCCATGGCACTTTCAATATTCTCCTCCAGCACCATAACTCAAATGCATCAATTCTTCTATGGTCTTCCTTATTCACTGTCCAGCTTTTTGCATGCATATGAAGTTACTGAAAATACCATGGCTTGGTATAAGGTGCACCTTAGCCCTCAAACTGACATCTTTCTGGTATTCTCTGCTTTCAGGCAAGATCCGTCGGACATCAGCAATGATATCCCTTGTTCCACATCCTCTTCAGAATCTGTCTTAAACCTCTGGAAGTTCTCTGTCAATGTATGCTTGCAGCTGTTTCTGTATTACCTTTAGTAAAACTTTACTTGCATGGGATATCAAAGAGATTGTCCCATGATTTCCATATTCATTTGGGTCACCTCTCTTTGGGATGAGCAAAAATACAGATGTCTTCCAATTAGTCGGCCAGATAATTGTCTTCCAAATTTCTTGGCATAGATGAGTGTCTCCTGTGCTGCCTCACTCTTTGAAAGAATTCAATTTTTATTCCATCAATTCCTGGTGTCTTGTTTTTTGCCAATTCCTTCAATGCACCTTGGACTTTCTCCTTCAGTATCAGTGGCTCTTGATCATACCTCTTGAAATGGTTGAACATCAACCATTTCCTTTAGGTACAGTGACTATGTATTCATCCATCTTCTTTTCATGCTTTCTGCATCATTCAGTAATTTGTCCAGAGAATCCATCAATAATGAAAGTCAAGGCTTGAATTTTTCCTTCAGTGCCCCCAGCATGAGAAATGCTGAGCCTGTTCTTCCCTTTTGGTTCTGACTCCAGATCTTTGCAAATTTCGTTGTAATATTTGACTTTATCTTCTTGAGCTGACCTTTGAAATTTTCTGCTCAGCTTTTGTATCTCATTTCTTCCATTTGCTTTAGCATCTCTATATTGAAGAGCAAGTTTCAGTGTCTCTTCTGACATCCATTTTGATCTTTTCTTTCTTGTCTTCTTAATGACTTTTTCCCTTTCTTTCTGTATGATGTTCTTAATGTCATCCCAGAACTCTTCTGGTCTTTAGGGTTTAATGTATAAAATCTGTTCTTCAGATGATCGATCTAGTAATTCAGGTGGGATATATATACAAGGTCGTATTTTGGCTCTCGTGGACTTGTTTTCATTTTCTTCAGCATCAGTTTGAATTTGCATATGAGCAACTAATGGTCTGATCCACAATCTGCCCCTAGCCTTGTTTTTCTGATACGGAGTTTTTCTACTGTCTGTTTCCATAGATGTAGTCAATTTGATTTCTGTGTATTCTGTCTAGTGAGGTCCATGTGTATAAACATCTCTTATGCTGTCTAAAGAAGGTATTTGAAATGAACAAATCATTGATTTTGCAGAATTCTATCATGCATTCTCCAGCATCATTTCTATCACCTAGGCCATATTTTCCAACTACTGATCCTTCCTCTTTGCTCCCAACCTTTGTATTCCAGTTACCAATAATGATCAATACATCTTGATTGCATGTTTGATTGATTTCACATTGGGGAAGTTGGTAGAACTTTTCTATTTCGTCCTCACTGGCTTTAGTAGTTGGTGAGTAAATTTGAATAAAAGTGGTATTAACTAGTCTTCCCTGTAGGCACATGGATATTATTCCATCACAGACAGCGTTATACCTCATGACTGATCTAGATATGTTCTTTTTGACAGTGAATGCAACACCATTCCTCTTCAGTTTGTCATTCCCAGCATAGTAAACCATGAGGTTGTCAGATTCAAAATGGCCAATATCAGTCCATTTCAGCTCTCCAATGCCTAGGTATCGATGTTTATGCGTTCCCTTTCATTTTTGACAATTTC